GAATAGCCACAAATCTTTTTTTTATTTAGGTATGATTGGTCACATAATTAAATCTATCCTCTCTAAAGAGATCCTAAGTTTGACTTAGTTCTTTAAAAGAATAAGTTTTGATTCACAAAATAGAATTAGGTTCAAGAGTATAGTTACAAGTGAAAAAAGTTATAGTACCCCTACATGCCCATCCAAAGGACAATATTAGTTAATTTTGTGTTATCCAAAACCTTAAAACATATTAAAAAATTTTTCAAATAAATTACTATTAAAAATTATTCTTAAAATTACTCCATTAATTTGATAGCAATTTAAGAATATTTTTTTACTAAAGAGTACTCAAGGAGACTGCTATGATTCTCTGAAAACACTCATAATTAGATTTATTAAGATTTTCAAAAAATTATTTTCAATAAACTCAATAAAATCTTCCAATAATTTTGTAAGATCTTATTTTAAAATTGAAATCTTCCAATAGTTTAGTAAGTTTGAATTCCACAAATTTTTTAAAGAATTATTAAACATTCTAATAGTTTGGTAAGATTTAATTTTAAAATTTAAATCCTTTAATAGTTTGGTAAAATTAATTTCAAAATTTTTGTTTTTCTAATTTTTTTTTAAAAAAATCATTAAACCTTTTAATAGTTTAGTAAGAAGAATAGACTTAGTTTTTAAAAATTTTATATAAAATATTTAATTCAAACAAAATAAAAAACATATAAAAATAAAAATTACCAAGTACGAGTTGATTAGGCTCAAGAAGGATATGGCTCTCGGCTCTAAACACAAAAAGTAGCTCGATTGTTTAACGTGGACTACCCTACTTCGGCTCAATGACACGAGTCACATGTGTGAATTGTCTAGTCAATGATTGAGTTAGGTTAAGTCAACAAGTAGACATGCAGATTCCAAGATTAGTTAAACAATGCATTTTGGGTAAGTATAAAAGATTTTTTTTTCTTCTCTTTTTTCTCTTCTTTTTCTTTCTCTAAACCCAAGTCTTCTCTATTCTCTCTAACCCTCTTTGAACACCGACTAGACTTTTCAAATGTGTCAAAATCTTTAAGATTTTGTTAGGAAACCATCAAAAAATCCAATGGATTCTAGAAATTCTAAAATTTTCTAAAAAAAAATTCAAAAACTTTTCCAATCTTCTAAACCAGATTTTGACTCTTGTTTCCTTAGATCTTGACCTTCCCATATCATATTTAAACCTAAGAGCAATTCAAAATCTTCAAAAAAAAAAAAAAAAAAGGAGAAAACATTGCTCAAAATTTTTTATTTTCTATTGCCAATGTTTCTTTTTTCTTTTCCCTCTCTGGTTGTTGATTATTCCTGCTTTATTGCTTAAGGATGGTTCCTTAAGTAGGCTTTCAGTCCTAATCAAAGTAGAGTAGGACATCTCAAATGAAATCCTTTAGAATTGATTTTAAGTCCAACTCTAACTCACCTTTTTTCCCTATAAATTTAACCAAATACATTCCTCATTCTTGAGTTGTTTAATCCTAGCCGAAAATATAACAAGACTTTCAATCCATCTCCACTTAAATTTTAATCCCTCTTCCTTTTTTGGTTTCAATGAAATTCTCTTTTTTTTAAAAAAAAATTAAAAATACAATAAATCAATAAGGATAAATTAATAAAATAAAATAACCCTAAACAAAATAAAACCAAAATAAAAAACTAAAAATAAAACAAAATCTTAAAACTCAATTCTAAAACATGATGAACTTTGAACTAATTGAGATATCTATAGATTTTATTAACCTAATCTCTTTCCCCTTATCGAATTGGCAGTGACAAGGTCGATTTGGCTGTAGCTAATTATCGTGGCTTTGGCTTGGCTAGATCCTACCTTTATTGGTCTCGATTGGTTTTTGGCGGATAAAAGAGAGAGTGGAAGAAGAAGAGAGGAAAAAAAAATCACATCTTCCACCATAAGTTTTATTTAACCACAACTAAGTTTAATTCTATTTTATTTGGAATAGGAAAAAAAAAAAAAAAAACATGATCAACAAAATTTTAGCATCATCAAAACAAAAGTACAATAAAATGAAATGGGGATTCAAATTAACCACGCAATTCAATTTTTTCATTTTCTTTTAATCCAAGTTACCTAGATGTTTTTCTTCAAATTTACAACAAATTAAATTTTATTTTTTTATTTGAAATTTGAACATTAATCATTAAAATTAAAAGTCCAACACTTTAACAATAAATGCAATGGCTTTTGACTAAATTTTAATCATTTGATAAAAAAGAATTTTATCACCATACCGATAATAGAGTAAGAAAGTGCCAACTACAAAAAGAAAAATAATATAAGGGTAATTATTCAGAAAGAAAACAAATGTCTCTGACTTGCTTACTCTTTTACAACTATATCAATAATTGGATTTATTGTTGTGATGAATAATTGTAGGAAGCAAGAAAGTGAAGCAAAGAAAGTAAGAGCAGCAGCATCTTCTACAGAAACTTCACATGGCTTCTGCAATATAGTCTGTGAAATTTCCTCTTAACTTGTAACCAAGGAAAATTTTCTATTGTCATTTCAGCAATGTCCTCCTTAATTTATGTTAAATTTTAAATGCTCAAGAGAATACATTCAAACAAGACTCTTAACTCCTTTATTTAGCTCAATGTCATGGCAAAGATACTAGCCGATAAATTTCAAATCACATCAGAAACCGTCCAATCTGATGAAAAAATCCTGCGAGTCTGAGCCCCATATGCACTATTCAATTGTGCAACATGGCATCCGCAGTTTACCTAAGTCATGCTGGTTGCAGATTGCTAGAAAAATCTTGGTTGTAAAAAGGACCCAAAGCATCTTATCTTTATCGGTAGAGAAAGACAAGGTTGAGGCAGCGCATGCAAACGCAATTCAAAACTGAACCGCCTGCCTTTTATGGATAGGTTTTAGCGTCATCCTTCTCTGTCCCTTCATGGGAGCTCATGAAAGTTATTTCTGAGCGGCATGATTGTCCTTACCAAGGGAAAAGAGGCTCACAAGTAAAAAAAAAAAAACTAATGGGTCTGCCTCGTGACTTCATTTATAATTGCCATACTTTTGGCCTTTTACTTCAGCTATGGAAGTACATAACCGAGCTGGAATCTTATACAAAGTGGGGTTTCCATCAGGATTCTGTCATCCATTCGTTTAGGTCCAGCTGATTTGCTTGGTCATGGTGAGAATCATGCTGTTGTTGATTGATTGGATTATTATCTTTCAAACAACGACGGATTCGGATAAGGCAGTTTTAGCTTTACATATCCTACGAATATACGGGTAAGGCAGTTGGGAAGTGACTGGGACTGCAAATACAAATATTTTTTCAAGTACCCGACAATTTGAAACAAAATGCGATTACACAATATAAAAATAATATAAATAAAAAATATAAAAATAATATAATTTAAAATTTTTAAAAATTTATAAATAAATTTAATAAAATAAAAATATTTTATTTTATATTTTTACATTAATAAAAATTATAATACATAATTTCTATATAAAATATAATATTTTATATGATATAATAATACAAATTTTTAAATTTATCTTCAATAACATTGGCTCTTTGAGACTTATGGGTTAAGGCATGGGTCACTTCAGGAGTTGGCCCACCAGAGACCCATATTCTTGACCATTTATATTGAGTCCAAAATTTCCTACCGAGCACGACAACTTGATGCAGGCATACACGATACTTTTTTTTAATACCAGGCATCGATAATACTTAACACAAATAAGATCCCATATTGTTGCAGCATTGGCCGGGAAAAAAAATAGACAAAGTATCTGAATTTAATTTAAACCCTGCAAATTAACAAATCAGCACAACTCTCAAATACAAACAAATCCCTTGAACAATCAAAATCCTCTAAAATACGAACAAACGACAATCAAAATTCCCCATTGAAATACCCCAAGTAATTTTCTACCGTTAGATCTTCATTGATCCTGATCTTTTCCTCACTGCGATTCACGGAGGCATTTTGGGCCGCGGCAGACGGAGCTTTAGCTGAGAGTCCAGCAGGGATTATAACGTTTGAACCTGCTGCTATCAGCTCAGCTGCTTGAATTGCTGCCGCATCGCTTTCATCAACAGGTTTATCATCTGCTGTTTGCGCGGTTGCTTCAAGTGCTTACCCTATAATTATTGTAGTTTGATGGATAACCCCAATTGGTGTAGCATGAACAACCTTTAAAAAAAAAACCTTTTGCTCGATAAAAGTTCATCACTTCACCAACAATGTAAGAGTGAATATTGGTAGTTTATTTGGGTAGCATTGATATTATTCTATCATAATAAGCTAGTTATAATGGTGACAAGATCAGCAAAATAATATGATTATTAATGATTTTAAATTATCATATTTGATAAAATATTATAACTCATTAGGGATCTTAAATTATTGTATTTAAGATCAGAGTTACACGGCTTGTATGTCGATCTGTTTCATATATCATGATGAAAACGAATGTGTTTTTGATATACTATTTAATTGCTCGATACATGATCTCCTACATGATATGATATGCTCACCGCGCAAGGTATTCATTCATGTTCAAGTCGATTTCGTTGGGAACATTCCAAGAAGTTAAAAAATAGAGACAGAGAACTGGTCGACTAGACCATAAACTTTTTTCAGTAAATTTCTATCCTTTGCACCACAGCTCAGTTTATGAATGTGACAAATGGAAGAAGAAAAAGACGGCAGCTCCTCTTGGTTTCTAAACTCCAATGGACCGAACCACGTCAATGTCCAGCTAGCTTGCAAAGCCAAGCCAAACCAACACTAATTTTTCTTTGGTTATATGCAGAAATGGGTTACAAAGTCCTCTGTAAGTCAAGTCAAAAGAAAGGTGCATGAAATAAAAGGGGAATAAAATCCTCCACAGAGAATAAAATTTCACACTTTTGAAGGGCATAGCAAAGTTTTTCTTGTTGTCTACTAGCTTTCAGCAGCTGAAGAGACAAAACGAGTATGGAAATGGAGATTCCTTTCCCTTCAAGCAATTCACTATTTTTTCATCTTCACAGTGAAAGATTGAATCCTACACGAAATTTGAGTTTAGGGCACGCAATGTATTAATGAACCGCCAGAGGACAAGATTGAGGGAGTACAGTTTTGTGCAAATGCCAACTGATGCTTTTTACGAGGAAGAATGTAAAGGTTTCACAAAAACATCCACATATACTTCATAGATAGTATTACACTTACAACAGCAAACAAGAGAAATTCAGTTGCATTTTATTGTTTTGCTGAGGATCTATATGCAAACTCCCAAGTTTCCCCTGCTAATTATGGAGCTTCCCTACTGGCAACCTCCAATCCATTACCTGCACATCAAAGTTCAATTCTCAAACATAAACCTGAAAGTTTTAAAAGGCCAAACCATTAAAACACCATAATACTAAATGTACTGATATTCAAAGTGTTGTACATGCTTCAAAAAGAAACAGGGCCAAAGTGGATTTTCTTTTGAGGGGTTGGTTAGAATTGCACTTGCCAGTGCTGAGTACATGATCATCTATAAATGTAAGCCCTTAACAAAAAACTATAGTATCAAATACTCACCATCTGGATCAAAGAAGAAGACCTGTCTGACCTTTCCATTTGGTAGGGACTTCTGAAAAGTCTCTATACCTTTATCCTGCATAATCCAATTTCTTATAACGTCAACAAGAAATTAGAGATGTAAACCAACCGATCATGAACAAACTTTAATTAACGGATTCCGAATGTTGTTCGTGATTTTTTGTTAAGTTTCATAAACAAACATGAAATTGACCATGTTCACAAACTGTTAAACATGTTCGTTTACACTATGGGAAATGACCAACTACTGAAATAAACAGACTCAATTTTATTGATGGCAATCGCCAGAGCTGAAAATTCATGACATTAAACACCAACAAGGAAAATGTCCTTCTCATCTTATGCTCAATTCCCTTTAACCATACGAAAATACCACCTTCCATTCCCAGATTTCTAATCTTTAAATTTTAAGATAAATTATCTAGGATTTTATCAATCCTAACACCAAATTATCATTGGTTACTTTGAGTTAAGAATAACACGTTATTTAAATCAGAAAGCAAAAACAAGTGGAAAAAAAAAAAAAAAAACTCAGACCTAATAGCAAAGAATTAAAAGGGTACCTTGAGAGACTGAACAAAAGAGTCGAGATTCGAAACGGTAAAGCAAATATGGTGACCTCTGGGGAGATGGCTGGGGTCACCAACAGCCGACGCGGCACTATAGGGTCCTTCTGGAAGCTTCGTAAGTGGGTTCCTTTCGATTAGGTGCATAGGAAAAGCTCCCGGAAGATTCAGCCAGATTACCTTAAACTCCCCGAAATAAGGGCTCTCAATCTCCTCGAACCCAAAGATCTAAACCACAAATATTCAATCTCTTTAAACGTGAAAAACAGCAAAAACCTTTTAAAAAAAAAAGGAAAAGGAAAAAATAAAGCCCCAAAATATAACCTCTCTGTAGAAGTTAGCAAGACGTCTAACGTCAGAGGATTCTCTGGAGATGTGGTTTAGGCAAGCTGCTTTTGCCACTGCCATTTCTGCAACTCTGTTTCTATATCGTAAAATTCGCCACGGCTCTGCATTATATGGCAGCATAGCGAGCATGAAACGACGTCGACTTATTTATAGATTTACAAAATTTCCCCAAGAAAAGGTACTTTGTTGCCGTGCTCGGTAAGTTTTAGGAATAGAATCCAAATACGGTACTTTGTTAAAAAAGATTTTAGCCATATTTTAATTTCTCACGACCAATCAATAAGTCCTTCAATAACAGCTACAATTATCTTTTTCTTAAAAATATTTTAAGTTCAAATTCATTTTCCAAAGTCAACTATTTTTTAATTGTACTTTCGAACAAATCTATAAATATAAAATTTTTTTTGATAAATAATGCGTAAATCTACTATAAATTCTTTTTTAAATTGACGAAAAAAATTGAGAAAGTTTCCCTTCATCTTAAACTTTCTTTACACAAAAAAAGACAAGGGAAATTTGCTTTGCAAAAAACATGCAAGAAAATAGTTTAAGCTGTTAAAATGGGAATAAAGTTAAATGATGAAAAATAAAAATTATTGATTAATTATATAAATAAATTATTCACCAATAATCTCTACAAGAGCATTGCCCGTCCCTGAAGCGATGAAACCGGTTATTATCTCTCACAACAACTTCTCTCCCAACAATGCCTGATATAAACTTAAAGGCACTATGGCAATCTCCGCAGATTCTGAGGTTTTTTGTGATTCTTATAGGTACTCCAGGAGGTATAACTATGAGACCAAAGGCAAGTGCAATTTTCTCACTATGGTATCCAACCTCTGATAGTTTCTCTTCTTCCTCTATATCATAGAGGGCAAAATTGGTGTCCGGAATGTAGCCAGCCGCCTTCATCTCATTCCTGAGTTTGGCCAGCATTTCTTGAATCTTAGAATTCATTTCGTGTGAAGTATCCTTTGCTTGGAAGATGTGGACTTTGTTCTTCACGGTGATCCAACTGCAACCTGCACCCTTTTTGATCCCAACATCCTTCATCTCCTTCCTCACAAGATCAGCCTCCTCCCACCTACATTTTAGTCGTCCAGGATAGTTAGCTAACAAGAAAACACAAGTTTGGAATCACAATTTTAAGTTAAAAAAATATTTTTGGGATAATGTCATAGATGACGCTTGAATTATAATGAAATATTCAACGTAATACATAAACTTTAAAAATTTATAATATGGTACTTGAACTATAAATCTATTAACTAATTTAGTATATGGAGAGCTGTTTGTCCGCAAGAGTCATTATTTGAAACTAATTACATTAAGGGAAAATGCCACGTTAATTAATAAATTTATAATTTAGATATGACATTAGAAATTTTTAAAATTTAAATATCATATTGAATAGTTTACTATAGTTCATGTTCTATTCGTGATATTAACCTTTTTTGTCTAAGATCCTAATGACTAGAGATTTCTTGAAGATTATGCTTTTACGATAGGGGAAAAATCTTACCTGCCGGTAGATGCAAACAGATTAGATAGCAACACATGGTTGCCAGAATCTCTAGGATCAAGCTCAAATAGTTTATCAGCCGCTATCTTCCCCAATTCTGGTTTTTTATACACTCTACAAGCATTTAAAAGAGCACCCCAGACAGAAATTGTTGGACGAATTGGCATTTCCTTTATAAATTCATAAGCACGCTCAACCATCCCAGCTCTCCCTAGCAAGTCTACAACACAAGCATAATGCTCGGCACCTGGTTGAATATGAAACCTCTCCTTCATTGATTCAAAAATCTCTATTCCCATTTTCACGGCCCCTGCCCTGCTACAAGCTGATAACATACAAACCAAAGTCACATAATTGGGAACAACTTCACCACAAGACAGCATGTCTTGAAACAATGCCAAAGCCATATCAGCACACCCTTGATGCGCATATCCACCTATCATAGCGTTCCAAGTAATTAAATTCCTCTCAGGTATCTCATAAAAGGCTTGCTCAGAATCCTCAATGCTCCCACATTTACCATACATATCAACCAGTGCACTCCCAACAAAAACATTCCCTTCAACACAAGCTTTAACAGCAAGCGCATGAACTGACCTACCCAACTCAAGCCCCGCCATCCCTGCGCAAGCACTGACAACACTCGAAACCATAAAGTCAGTAGGTTCAACCCCTTCTTTCATTGCCTCCAAAAACATTCCACATGCATTCTCTTCCTCATAATTTTGCTCATAAGCAGACATCAATGAGCACCAAGAAACCGCATTTCTTTTCTCCATCCCATCAAAAACCACCCTCGCGGATTCCACCTCGTTACACTTTCCATAAAAATCAATAAGCCCATTACAGACAGACAAGTTCCTATCAAAACCGCTTCGAATCACATATCCATGTAACTGTCTCCCCAATTCCAAGTAGAAAGCATCTGAACACGCATTAAGGAAGACGCAGAACGTAATCGGATCAGGTTCGCCGCCAATCCTTCTAAACTGAATAAAAACATCCACCGCAGTACTCGGCTTCCTATCAAGCACCGCATTGGAGATATTTGCATTCCACATCGCAATACTTCTCTCAGGCATTTCTCCGAACACTTTCATTGCTTCATCTCTAAGCCCCGTTTTCAAATACATATCAAAACAACTACATCCAACAAAGGAATCAAAAATCTGGGCAGACTTTAAAGCTAGTGAATGAAGTTGTTTTCCCACAACAGGTAGCTGAAGCGAAGCGGAGGCCTTGAAAGCGCAAGGGAAGGTGAAATCATTGGGGAAAATACCGTCCTTTCGCATGCGGGTAAAATGGTGGAGAGCAGAAGTGAAATGGCCGTTTTGGACATGGCCCGAAATGAGGGCAGTCCAAGTTATAACAGAGCGGGATTGAGGTGGGGTTTGTAAAAGGACGACGTGGGCGGAGTTGTCAAGGTTGAGTTTGGAGTACATGTTGATGAGGTGGTTGGAAAGGAAAGAAGGGAGAGGAATTTGAAGAGTTTTGAGAATGTGAGCGTGAGTGGCCCGGCCGAAGAGGAGGGAGCGAGTGGAGATGGCAGATTCCAAGAGGGAGCCTAGCTCGTTTGCGGTGAGGAATGGCATTGGTATTGGTGGTGGACGGTGTGATCATGGTTTGAGTATTGTGGCGGCAAGGGTTTGAAGACTATCAGTCAAACTTTTTAGAGGAATGCCATTGGGCCCAATAATCTACAGGTGAGAATGACGGTTAATTGGTGGGCTGTCAAGATAAGTAAGCATTCCATTATCGAAAGGGGTATTAACATAAATTAATTTAATTTAATTAATTCACGTAATTATATTTAAAAAATCATTTAATAAATTTAGAATTTGAATCAAAATATTTATAATTTTTTTTTTATTCCTTGGTTGCCGCCTCTTAAGTAAATATTTTTAAAGGTTTATACGAAGGTTTGAAGTTATGTTTAATGTATAAGATATAAGATAATAGATAAGATAGTATAATAATTATTTTATATTATATTTAGTTTGTATCTAATTAAAAGAGATAAAATTAGAATGAGGATTATCATTCTCTTGGTATAAGATGATTCAATTCTTCTAAAGTGTAAATAATTATTTTTAATCCATGAGATTAAATTTACATATTTTATTATATCATTAAAAATTACATTAATAATTTAAGTTGTATATACTTTAAGGAAGGATAATTTTGACCAACAAATAAATTATCCTATATTAATCTTTGCACACATTAAATATAAGATAGGATGATATTTTTTGATCTAATCATATTCATAATATCATTTTATTTTATTCTATTATAATTTTATATACCAAATATGACCTAAAACAATAATTTTGTGAAATGCATTTGTATAAAAAAAGTCTTATTGTTGATATAGAATTATTAGATAAAACGAATTTAAGGAATATGAAATTATTAAAAGAAATGAATTGAAAGTCATAGTATTATTTTAGATTTTGGTTGTATTTAGCTCAAATGAAAAGCATTCTTGGCAAGCAATTGAAAAAAATCAAAGTTTTATTTTTTCTTATATAGCTAAAGTTTTAAATATGATGCATATCAATGTAAGTTAGCTACATTTTTGAACCTTAATATTAATGGTGATGAAGGCGTTATGGATGACTTACTGGTCCTTTACTATCTACCCCATTCTCTCACAATTTAGCAATATTTCACATTTAAATGGGAAAAGTATGGTTGGTCTGTTCTTCCTCTGTAAGTTGAAACCTATTTTCAATGGCTTATCAACTATAATCGATACTTTCGTTCTCATGACACCATTCCACTTAATTTCTTCTTCAAAATAAAAATCTAAGTTGACCAGCCTTGGGAAGACATAAGCAACACTTTTATCAAAGAACACATTTTGATAATTTGATCAGCCACTTGTCTCACTACTAGGGAGAGAAAATTTTGGTTAAAACTAAAAAAACGACAAAAATCAAAATTTTTGGATAACTCGATTTGGTTAATTTGTATTATATGGGTGTTTCAATTATCCTCTCAATTTAATTGGTTAAAGCGATCGATTTTCAGGTTTAAAATTTGAAATCAAATAAACCAAAATACTCGATTTAATACAAAATAATTAATTAAAATAAAAACATTATAATCACTCATTTTTTAGATTTTCCTTTTGCTTACTAAACCCTAACAGCTCAACACTCTTAACATTTTTTTATCTCTCATTTTCTTTCACAGCTTCACTGTTGCACTATTTCTATCTTCTCCCTCAAATTTTTCACAATTTTTTATCTCTAATCTGCCACACATCGATCTCACATCTCAACACTCTGATTTACCGCATATCCTCTTCCTCTCTTTCTTGTCACTCAAATCTCACTCTCATCTCATAGTCCTTTTGCCTTTCACCCTTATCTTGTGCGCTATTGTCGTGTCCTTCTGTCACACCACTCTGCACATTTGCCTCCTTTATTCTTCAGTTCATCTCACAGAGTCATGGTCTTTTAGGATCTTTCAATTTTTCTTGCAGTGTCACCTTATTTCTTTTTTAGTTTTTCTCGTAAAGTTGAGGTCAGTAGCTTTGTTTTCATCCTTGTTTCTTAGGATTTTAAAGCACCTTCACTAAAATATTTTGAAAGGAAACCTACCTTCACTAAAAGATCCATGTACTAACTAGCTATAGCACATAGAAATATGGGGTTTAACAACCAACACTCTTAACATTTTCTTATCTCTCATTTTTCTTCACAGCTTCACTGTTGCACTATCTCTATCTTTTCCCTCAGATTTTTCACAATTTTCTATCTCTAATCTGCCACACATCGATCTCACATCTCAACACTCTAATCTACCGCATATCCTCTTTTTTTTTTGTCACTCAAATCTCACTCTCATTTCATAGTCCATTTGCCTTTCACCCTCATCTTATGCGCTATCGTCGTGTCTTTCTATCGCACCACTCTGCACCTTTGCCTCTTTCATTCTTCAGTTCCTCTCACAGCGTCATGGTTTTTCAGGATCTTTCAATTTTTTCTTGCAGTGTCACTTTATTCCTTTTTTAATTTCTCTCGTAAAGTTGAGGTCAGTAGCGTTGTTTTCATCCTTGTTTCTTAAGATTTTAAAGCACATTTACTAAAAAATTTTGAAAGGAAACCCATATTCACTAAAAGATCCATGTACTAGCTAGCTATAACACATAGAAATATGAGGTTTAGCAACTAACCACGTGAAGCCCTCTTAGCTCACATGCCAGTAAATGCATCTATTAAGGTGAGTTTGCTTATGTCCCAACATAAAACCATAGCTAAGGCCCTAAAGTTCAACTTGAATGCTAAAAATTAACTCCCTACGATATCTTCATAGAGGGACTTGGTTGCCAAAGGATGGGTCATCCTCCACAGATGGGATAAGCCTAAAGAAACAAGAAAAAAAGTATAATCATTAATGTAATGTCTTCTTAAATAAGAATTACAATTTGTCTCATATATATAATATTTGTTTTTTAATATATTTATTACAATTTATCCCACTTATATATAATATTTTGTTTGTAGTTTATTTATTACAATTTGTCCCATATATAATATTTTGTTCTTTAATTTATTCAAGATTGTTAATATATTATTATGATGGTGATAGATCAAACATGTTAGGATATCATCATCTCTATTGTTATGGATTTATTAAATCCTATCCTAATTGAAGTGTTGGTTAATAATAACATATATGCTTGTTTTAGTGACCTGTAACCTTTTATTTTTTTCTCAAAAATAAAATCTTAAAATTAATTTTTATGATGTATCGATATCATTTTATGATTGATTAATTATATATACTATCTATACACTAAATATAAAACTCTTATTTTATAAATTTATAAAAATTTATATTTCATTAATAGTATGATATGATATAATTTAATGGTTCCCAAGCTTTTAGCCTAGTGGTTAAAGGCGCTTGAGAGGATATCAAGGGTTTGATTTTGAACCATGCCTCCTCCTCTTTCCTTTACTTTTACTAGGGTTTTGCCCTCCTAATGTAACAAAAAAAAAAGATATAATTTAATGAAAATGTATGAAATTTAGACATATATAAAACTAATATATATACTTGTAACTAGCTAGCTAGCATCAGTTTCTCCATGGCTACTTTCTTTTGAATTTCCAAACATTGTTTTCTAGAACTATTTAGCAGCTACCATGCTAATTTTAAATCCAATTAAATGAAAAAATCAGATCCAATTAAAAGAAAAGATCATATTAGCATCTTTACACATTCATTTCCTTATGTTTATATATTTCATTTCTTATTTTCTTGATGAGTTATTTTGAATTGCTTACATGTCCTAGAAATGCTATTCATTTCCTTATGTTTATATATAGCTTAACATTTTTTTCTTGAATATGTCAAATAAAATGACTGATCAAAATCTGACACAAAAAAATGCTAAATCAATCCCCAAATAGACATACATGGAACAAAAAGTGAAGTTATAACTACTCAATAGAAAAGAAGACTACCAAACACATGGTTAGAAGTATGGGACCACTTTACCAAATTTACTAATAATAAAGGTGAACTCAAAATCAAATGCAATTATTATCATAAAGAATTTTATGGTCACTTTTTAAAAAATGAAACATCTTGTATGAAATTTTCTCATGGTAGTGGTGATCCTTCCGAGCTAGAATTAGTTTTTAGTTCAGAAGAAGATGGCTCTTTAAGTACCTGAAAGTTTGATCAAGATGCTATTAGAAGAGGTGTGGTTGAGATGATAATTATAGATGAGTTACCTTTTAACTTTATAGAAGCAAAAAGATTTAGGCATTATATAGATATTGCATGTCCTAGATTTCGTGTACCATTGATAGATTGTTGCTAGGGATTGTTATCAAATTTATATAAATGAAAAAACTTCCCTAAGGCAATTTTTAAAATCATCTTCTATAAAAGTGTCTTTTACCACTAACACATTGACTTTATTGCAAAGAGTCAATTATATGTGTCCACATCTCACTTTATAGATAATGATTGAAAACTTAATAAAAGGATATTAAACTTTTGTCCTATTTTTAGTTATAAATGTGAGGCTATTAGTAGGGCAATTGAAAAATACTTGCATAATTGAGGGATTGATAAAGTTTTTACTGTTATAGTTAATAATGCTAGTTTTATTGATGTTGCAATCTCATACTTGAGAAAAAAATATAACATTGTAAGAACTAGTATTGTAGGAGGTAAATATCTTCATTTAAGATGCATTACTCATATTGTTAACCTTATTGTGAATGATAGGTTAAAAGAAATAAGTTATTTCGGTTGCTCATGTTAGAAGAGTTTTTAAACATGTAACATAATCACCCTTTAGGTTGGCCAAGCTTAAAGAGAGTGTTGTCAATGAACATATTCAAAGTAAAGCTTGTTATCCTTAGATGTTAACACTAGGTGAAATTCCACTTACTTGATGTTGGAATAAGCTTAAAAGTTTGAAAGGGCTTTTGAGGCTTTTAATGATGTTGATCTTTATTATAGAAGTGAGCTTGTGTTGGGAGATGAGGTGCCCAATCAAAATGATTGTGCAAGTGTTAGAAAATTATGCATTTTCTTGCAAAAATTTTACAATCTCACAATTAGAGTTTTTGATTCTTTATATGTTACATCTAATAATTTTCTTAAAGACATTTGTGGTGTTTATGGTATTTTGCAATATTGGCATTTAAATGTTAATGTTGAGTTGAGTGTAATGGCTAAGAAAATGAAAGATAAGTATGATAAGTATTGAGGAAATGTGGAGAAAA